ACAGTCTCCTAAATTATGGTGCAGTCAAAATGATTCCTCTTTGCAGAGTTGTCAACTTAGAGTTTGTGTTTTTTTAGCACAGGTAAGTACAAGAAACTAGTTCAAGTTACTGGGCAGTAAGAAATTCACTGTTACTACCTACATTTAAGTAGTAGCAGCACACCAGAACCTCAACCATGGCAAGTTGTGGAGTCTTTTTTTCTTTTAGGGGGTGTTTTTCCAGGTTATAAAAGCTAATTTATATGGATCTCAGAACTTCAATCTATCTTTGAATGTTCCTTTATTAAAAGTTTTCAAAATTAGCTAATGGAACATCTGTAATTTAAATAAGTCAGCTTTACCTTACTCTTCATGGGATAGTTCAAATACAATATGTAACATATACAGTTTTTATAAACATTTTATCAGTGTTTTATTAAAATGATTAATGGTAGTCATAATACCATTATGTAAGATGTACACAGAAAAAAAGTCTATATTTAGAGATTAAAAGGGTATTTCAGTAGAGTTATTTTTTCATAACTAGAAAAAGTCACAGGATTAAAATTGGACACAGATATAATATCTTAACCCTGCTGGTTTATAGCATCAGTAGTATAGTAGGTACACTAAGTATAGGAAAGAAGAGAAAGCAGATTTCATGACAGAAATCTACTAACAACTTGAATTTAGGATCTCTCACACACAAAAGTTTATATCCTATAAGCATTGTTACTATGTGTTTTTCCCCCCAGTTTAAATAGCTGAAATCTTCAGAAAATGCCAAATCTCTTTTCAAATTATGATCCCAAAATAAAATTTAGAGAAAAATCTAATTAATTCTATAATGTTTTTATTAATTTCAGTTTTCTAGAAATAAGTTTTAGAAACAAAAATATTGCCAGAATTCATTTTTTCAATATACCATTCAGTTCAGAAAAAAAAGATATCCCAATAATCCACTTATAAAGCAAACCATGGTCTTTTCTTTTATGTAGAGAGTCGGCTTCAAAGATGGGAGAAAATTGCATTTACAATAGCTGATATACTTTTCTGTCCCAAGACATAATACTGTAATCTCCAAATGGTATGTAATAAGTAGGGGAAAAGAGAAACTAAATATAACAAATGTCATCTTTTAAAAAAAGCAAAACAAATATGCAAATTAGTTAATATGTAACTAAGTTCCCAAAGGACATTCTAAAATCTAATGAAGAAAAAAATGGCAGAGACTAATCAATTTATAAAGAAAAAGATGTTTTACAATTCTCTTTCCTCTGTGCATAAGAAATACTAGCACTTGCCTTCTTTTCTGTAAATTAGTGTAAGTTGCTGCCAATAACAAAAACTCCTCTAAGATAAAGCACTGTTAAGCTTCTCTATCAACTGAATGACTGAATAGTATTAAAAACTTAAATCTACATCACTTTGGATACAGTATGAAATGCTTATTAAAGCAAAAAAATCAAACTACTAGATAGTAATCTAATTCATATTACAAAACTAAGAAATTCATGAAATGTAACCTGTGCATAATCTAAAAAAGAAATGTCTGTAATTTAAAAGCAGAGGTTTTTAACTTCTAATTGAGAGTGTTTGGGATTTTTTTTCCCCATAAATCTGAAAAGATAAAAATGAAATTAAAAATAAATGTTTAGATCACCTAAAATGAAAATAGCTGTCACTCAAAGATTACTTACAACTTTTCTGTCTTTTAAAATGTCTTATGAATCACTTCATTTAGAGAAGCCAACTAATATGCACTGAACTACTATTTATGAATTAAGCTATTATTTGTGTATCTTGTATACATGTGCTTCTAGATTCACATTGAGATATATAAAATTTTGTTTGATTTTTTTGTTTTGTTTTGTTTTCTTTTGTTTTTCTAAAAAAGGTTAACAGCCCTGAAAATAGGAGAAGGTAATACTTCAGTTTTCAATCGTTAAATCATATTTTTGTTTTAGCTTAGAATCATGACTCAAAAATGGAGTTCTATGACTATAACAGTGTATTAATTCATTAATTCCAGGAATCTAATCTCACACAAAAACATGAATGGTCAATTAAAGTGAAGAAAAGTCATATTAGGCACTGAGAGGTTAAATAAATAAGTGCTGACATTAACACAAAAACTGATAAACCCTATTTGCTAGTTCCTGTTTTTCCACTGTGCAAGCCAGAGCTGTTGGCTATTTCCAGTCCAAAACCAAAGAGCTAGATCATTTCCTTACAGAAAAACTTCAAACCACCGCCACATCCAAAAAAGGGAAAACATACACAATCTCATATGCAACATACAATTCACACTAATTTACAGATTTTTATTTACAGTTTTATATACATTCCAGGTGATATAGATGATGAAATTTGTGCTCATATTGATCTCAGATGACCATGTGAACAGTATAGTTTACTACCACATTTCAATTCCCAGAAAATGGTGGTAGCATGGGATTAGGAGGGGGGAAAAAAATCAAATATCACTGGTCAGGTAAGTTTCTGTAAGTATGTAAGGAAAAAGCGGAGTAGGAGAGTGAGATCGTTGAATTTTGCTTATTAAAGCATCCAGGCCACTATGGTCTATTGACTAACATTGAATATACATGGATGCCACTTGTATTCATATTTACAAAATGGGCTTTTTTTAGGTAAGTTATTACCTAATTGAGTTTTTAGGTAAGGCATTCAAGTTCCTCAGCTTAACGTAAAAAGGCAACAGACACATCTCAGCAAGCCACAAAACAAATTTTAGAGGGATGCTTTCAGACTGCTATTGAGATTTACCTTCTGTTTGAATCCCTCAAATGGCCAATAAGGATATGTCATTTTGAGTCCTAAACCTGCACCATTGTCCCAAAAGCCTATACAGGAATTATCAGAACATCACAACATCTAAAATCTCGCCAAAGTATGAAGGGAGAATATGATCTAACTTCATATCAGAGAGTCCCTATTCCCCATTACATTCTCTTGTGTACAAATCTCTGAAATGCTTAATATAGTGTCACAGCTAACAACTATTTAGTCTACCAGCATTGGCTCAGTGAATCCTTATTCAAAAAGATTTGAAGTAAGACATGGAAGAAAATAGATCAATTACCTTCTTTACTCCCAGAGTACTCCAAATTATACACTGTTATACTTCAAGAAGTCAGAAAACAACAATAAAAAAATCAAGAGTACTATACATTTTTAACTGCTCTATGAAAATGATCCAACTATAGATGAAAATTAAATCAAAAACAATTTCTTAAATTTCACCCTAACATAAAAAACTATTAATTGCTTAATTGGTTCCACTCATTTAATCAACTGGACATAACTCTATTGATCCTATGGTAATAGTTTATAAAAACAAAAGTGAACATTTCTAACACTGGGGAGGTAGAAAACAAATTTTGGTCTAACACTGCTGTTAGATATACACAGACTTTTAAGTTTCTATTTCACGAACTAGTATTTAACATTTTAAACTGGCCTTTAAGTGCTTTTACTTACGTTATTAGCTTTAAACATCTTGAATAATCCAAGTATTTTAAAGCACTTGTCTGAGAATATAATAATTTATTTGGAATAATGCATCAGACTCACCATAACATTTCTCAGAAGATAAATTTGTGGATACATACCCTGAATATGCAGATCCATTAAGCCAACTTTGTACTGGGCACTTACATAACAAACGTGCAAAACTTATCAGACTAGTTTTCAAAATAAAATCACCATGACTGTTCAACCCCACAGAGTAATCTTCAAAACTTGAAGTCTACTTATCTATCCCAACTATCTAATGTCCTTCCATATAATAACTGCCTAACCACAAACAAACAAGCAAACTATATATATATATATATATACATACTTAAATAAAAACAGGACGACAAAACAACAGCCCTCCTAACATGAATATTTCTTAGTTCACATTTTGGTTTATCGGATTTAAGTATACAAGATCAATTTTTAAATGTTGCTTGTTTAATCCTTTTAACAACTTAAAACATATCACATGGACCAAGTAATTATTTACTTTTAGTCTGAAGACATGGTGTGACAAAGTAAAACAAATGTAAGGAATGAAATTGCAGAGGTAAACAAGAATTAATCTAAATGATATCTTCTTGCTCCCAAGTATGATAATTTTTCTCTATTTTCTACAAAAATTGCAGCTGTTATACAAATAAAAATGTAGATCTCAATAAGAACAACAAAATTTTAGTTAAAAATTTGATAACAAAAATTTTCAAGCTAAAACTAGCAATTTAGATGACGATATTTAGTACATCAAAAGATCACTTACTACAGATTATAGCAACATTAAATCATTATATCTAGTCTAGGATTACACAGTACACTTAATATCTCTACTGCCAGACTATACAGGGAGAAAAGAATTGCATTCTAACATACATAACCCAAAAATAAATGTTTTCTAATACTAAGTTCCAAAGATGTACCATTAACATTGGTGAACTTATTTCCTCCTTCTAAACAGGCAGTTTTAATTGAACATCCAAAGTTATCTGCAACAGTGACTGTCATTTAAAGAATAAATGATTCACTTCACTTATATTGCATCAATTTATCAATTTTAATGTTAATGTTGAATACCTAGAATGTTTACTAAAACTAATCATATTAAAGTAAAACTTACAGGAAAATTACTCTGGAACATTTACATTGCTTATACTCAACAGATGAAAACAATCACAGAATGTTAAATTTATAATAAATAATTCACATATAACATAGATTAGGTTATCAAAGAAAGGATTAAACAGACATCTTTATAGTTTTTTGTAGGACTAACAAATTTCTAATCTATTACATCTGACAGCAGTAGGTATATTTCTTGACATCATTCCATCTATTTTAAAAATAGACTGGTTGTTGAGAGGCTTAATTTGTAAAGTGAGATAACCAAATTAAGTAACAGAATTTTAACAAATATTCGCTTTTCAAAAGTTCTTTAAGAAAAGATTCACAAGGATTGCTCAAATACTTGAGATAATTAAATCTCTTTACTCGGGCACTTTTAATGCAGTAACCTCAGGCTTCATTTTGAAGTACTGGTTAAAACGAACAATTGCATACCTAATGAGAAAAATGAATAACAAAATTAGTCAAAGCTGAAAACTTAATCCCTCCTTTTTTCCACTCACCCACCTAAACTGGTTTATAAAAAGTTTTAAGATTTCAAAGGACTTATGTTTAGTTTATTGCACCATCTACTGGACACTTTTCTAATACAGAGAACACCAATTTCCTGATAGCCTAAATATTTAAAATCTTTTGATTTGACTGACAAAATTAAGAACAGCAATATTACATTAATTCTCAGTGCTAATCCAAAATAAGAATAGAGATTAATGTAATGCATACAGCAAAATTAAAACTTACCCAAGAAAATCAAATTCAATAGTAGAGTATTTAGCTTGAATCAAAGCCCACAATCCCCAAAAGAAATGAGAAGCCTAAAAACAGAAGGACAAAAAATTTAAAGGTTAAAAAAAAGTTCATCAACTCCCTGCACCCTACTTACTCACTGCTTTTATTATAATATTGTATCTTTACTCATATCAAATACTGACGTCTACAGTTACCTGGATAGTTATACATATATAATACTCTGCCCATACCAGAAGAGACAGAAGTAACATAACTTTATCTAAGCCAGAGAAAAATAGGTCTTAGGTATTAAAGGGAAAAACAGCAGGATGTGTAAGTAATTAGGAACTGCAAAATAATTGGGTGTGTTTACCATCTATTTACAGTTAAACATAATGATATTTTTACATTCTGATAACACTAGTAAAATTTCACTTCCTAAGAAATACTGCCTCTGGTAGCATAGTGGTTATGAATCGGGCTGTAAACCACAAGGTCAACAATTTGAAACTACCAGCTGTTCCGTGGGAGAAAAATGAGGCTTTCTGATCCCGTAAAGATTTACAGCCTCGGAAACCCTGCACAGGGTTGCTATGAGTCGGAACTGACTCCATGGCACATAACAACAAGAAATAGTGTGGTATAGTGGTGTAAGATTAAGCACTGGACCGAAAGGTAATTTGAACCTTAAAGTTGGCTGTTCAAACTCACCAATTGCTCCTCAGATACCCTATACAGGATCGCTATGAGTCAGAACCAATTCGACAGCACTTAGTAATTCTAATAAGAAAATAAAATTCTTAAAGGTTCTTGTTTCAGTTAAAATCACTGTGTATTACTACACTAACAACAAAGATCTTCTCAATAACTGTGATCTTGGTATTAAAAATAAAATGTGAAAACATAATGAAATTGGTATATGAAATGGCAAAGGGTATCAGAAAGAACTCTTAATTTGTATTACAAGGCCTGGGGGAGGAGGCTGAAGTGAAGCCTTTGTCAGTAATTCATGTTGCAACGCTTAATAATCACAACTTTGAATCTTAGATTGATCATGATAACAATATTGGCCATTCTGTATCTACATATAACTGTTTTAAAGATTAATGGAAATATGTACAAAATGTGTTTTACCTGCTAAAGCACTGTACTAAAAATATATGTTGTCGTTATTACTATTGCACTTTGCTTTAATTTTCCTTAAAAAATCATTAATAAATATACATACAAGGGTAAGTCACAAAATATTGTTAGTAAAGTTCCAGTTCATACATGCACTTTTTATTCCAAAACAAAACATATTTAAACATGTCTCTGTGATCAATGGATGGCTGCAGACAAGGTCTATTAGTAATACACCTGTCTAAGTCTCATTAGCTCAGGAGCTCTGGTAGCATAGTCATTACAAGTCAGGCTGCTAACCTCAATGTCAGCAGTTTGAAACTATCAGTGGTTCCACAGGAAAAAGATGAGGCTTCTGCTCCCATAAAGACTTACAGCCTCATAAACCCTATACAGGATCGCTGTGAATCAGAACCGACTCCACAGCACATCACCACCACCACCACAAGTCTCATTAGGGTGACTTCTAAAACTAAGACCCAGTCAAAACAGTGTCTTTCAAGAGGATCTGCTAAGCTAGTTAAATCAAGACACAGAGGTCAGCTCAGAAGGTTATGCTAAAGATCCCAAAGAGGTTGTTTTTTAAATTTTTTACTGTGAATTGGGGTGAATGTTTACAGAGCAGATCATCACTTTTTCTCTCAATTCATACACGTTTTGTTTCATCTCACTGATTCTAATCCCCTCAATGTAATCCCACTTATCCCACTTCCTCCCTACAATTATTGTTTACATTCCTTCTTTCCTAATATTTATGTACTTTGTACTTGGGAAATGCTGTCCTTTTGATATCAAACAGTTGATAATTCTAAAGTGTGTATACTTTACTACTGTTATTGTTCCCCTTATTGACCAATCCACTGTTGGCTGAAAACTGAACAACAGGGTGGAGTACAGTTCCAGACCTGTAGGGTGACTAGTAACCCTAGTCACAACTCACTGTCTTAGGCTGGGTTCTCTTAAGAAGCAAAACCAGTGAAACTTATATATATAAACAGAAGTTTATGTGAAGGAAATGGCTCACAATTGTAGAGTCCCAGGTTGGTCCCCAGGGAAAAAGAGAGGGTCTTTCTCGCATGTCCATTATATTGAGAGCAGGCCAACCCACCAATGAAACATCCTTTAAATTGATTGGCTGCTCATAGCCAGTCATCAAAGTATTAGCTATACCTGCTCATTGTCAATCATCACAGAGTTAACTATCAACTGCCAAACCACTAGGATTCCTGGCCCAGTCAAGTTGGCATAAAACCTTAACTATCACACTAACCAAAGTAGAATGTAGGGGCAAGAATGTAGAATGTCTTTCAAAGGGGCAACCTTGGTAGATTTCCTCAAAGGACACATGAATAGGTTTAATATGAATAGGCTTTAAGAAAATAGAAAATTGCATTGTTGATAAAAAGGCCAGAAAATTTGTGCCAAAGATTTTTTTTGCCATCACACCTGCTCATTCTTCGAAGGTAGGAAAGAGTGTTCTAAGAGAATTTCCTCAGGAAACCTTACTCCATCCACCCTACAGCCCTGATCTTGTCTCTTCAGACTTGTCTTTGTTCCCCAAAATCAAAGAACATTTAAAAGAAACACAACTTCTGTTCCCTGAGGATGCCAAAACACCTGTTTTTACATGGTAGAAATCAAAGAGCACCAAATTGTTCGAGTAAGAAACTGCCTTCATTTTGTTTCATGATTTTATACTAGTATTTTTTATTTACCTTCATATAACATGCTATTAGATACACAGGAAAGCATAAACCACATAGTAAAGAGTAAAGAATTAAACATAAGCTCATAAAGCATAATGGTTTTTTAAAAAGAAAAGAAAAAAAAAAACATGCATTCTGGAGTCAGACTGAAAAATTAACTACATAAAAATCTATTTCTTCATTTATTCATCTTTCAAATATGGGTAATAATAGTATTGGCAGCTGTTGTTATTGTGTGCCATGGAGTAGGTTACAACTCATATTGACATTATAAAGGGTTTCTAAAGCTGTAAATCTTTATGGAAACAGATAGAAAGTCTCATTTTTCTTCCTCAGAGCAGGTAGTAGATTCAAACAAATAGCCTTGTGTTTAGCAGTACAACACATACTGAGCTCCACTACACAACCAGAGCGCCTTAGTATTGACACCTGTTGTTGTTAAGGTCCATCAAGTCAGTTCCGACTCACAGCAACCCTATATAGGGTTTTCAAGGAGCAGCTGGTAAGTTTGAACTGCCAACCCAGAGGTTAGCAATCCAGTACATATCCTACAGTGCCACACCAGGACATCTAGCACATAGAAAATGCTTAATAAAAAGTTAGCTACTTTTACTGTATGAGACTGTTGTTGTTAAGTGCCATTGAGTCAGTTCCTACTCAAAGCAATCCTGTATAGGGTTTCCGTGTAGCAGTTGGTGAATTTGAACCACAGACTTTGCAGTTCAAACTGACCTTGCATTCCAGTGCTTATCCTACAATGCCACACCAGGACTGTGTGTGACTGTCAAATGCCACAGAGTCAGTTCTGACCCACAACAGCCCTGTATAGGGTTTCCAAGGAGTAGCTAGTGAGCTTGAACCACAGACTTTGCAGTTCAAATCAACTATACAATCCAGCACATTAACCCATTGCGCCACACCAGAACTCCTGTATGAGATTAGAATGGTAAAAATGATAAATATTTTCAAAAGCAGTCTTAATTCTACCAAAGGAAATACCTAAGGTATTGAGAGTGAATTATGAGAAGAAATGAATTCCTTTTGAAAAGTTTAAATCAATGGTTCTCAAAGTAAAACCTGTAAAAGCCTGGAAACCTGTCAGAGAAATGCACTGTAGAATAAGCACTAGATGACAACATCAATTTGAACTGCAAGGGGACAGTTCAAACCCACAAACCGCTCCTCAAAAGCCTTACACAGGGTCACTATGATCAGAACTGACTTGACAGCACTAATAACAACAGAAAAGCTGGCAATGTTGTTGTTATGTGCCGTGGAGTCGGTTCCGACTCATAGCGACCCTGTACAGGGTTTCCAACGCTATAAATCTTTATGGGAGCCAAAAGCCTCATCTTTCTCCTGTGGAACAGCTGGTAGTTTTGAGCTGCTGACCTTGAGGTTTACAGCCCAATTCGCAACCACTATGCTATTGACAGAATGCAGTTTTACCACCTTTCTGTTGCTAGCTTTTCTGTTGTTGTTGTTGAAACAGAAAAGCTAGCAATAGAAAGGTGGTAAAACTGCATTCTGTCAATGGTAAAAAAATTGCAAGACCCCCAAAATAAGGTAGTCCTATTGAGTTCTGGGTCTCAAATCGCTCACTGTAGCCTAATTCTTCACCAACACATACTCGTAGTAAAAAGACAGTTTCATTAAAGATATCCTTTATTAAGCCATTACACCTATTAATTTTATTAACTTTTGACCTTTGAGTACCTGTTGTTTTAATATTCTATATGTGCTGCATACCCAAAGACTGCCTCAAGGAAGAGCACTTGTGTGACTGAGTTGTGAGCTATCAGACTTGAGTATGCAGAAGACATTTTCACAATATAAAAGTAAGACCCTGTCACTTCAAGAAAAATTACTGACAGGATTTGCTGCCAGTGATAAGATTCGAACTTTCAACCAAAAACTTGAATTTTAGAAAATTTATATTTAATTCCATGAGTTCTCAACATGTTCTCAACAGTATACTTAAGACTTCGCTAATGATACTGACGAGTCATAGTGTGGTACTGTGGGATAAGCGATGGACCACAGAGTTGGCAGTTCAAACCCACCTGCTACTCTCTGGAAACCAGAGTTGCTATGAGTCAGCAATGACTTGACAGCACTTAACAACAACAGTAACAATGATACCAGTAGTGTTATCGTGAAATGTTTAGCTGTATTATAGCAGTTTTTCTGTATCCCGCTTGTATAATGTATTGTTTTGAGTAAACTATATGAAGAAAATATGATTTTTGATGTCATAT